TTACCTTTCATCAACATCATTCCAACCGACACAACACATCTCGGGCCGCAGTGAGCACGATGGCCAGACAATTCCAAATTGTTCGGTGAGTAAAAATTCACAGCTTTGTGTTTTAGACTGTTAGATATTGTATTTTGCCTGTTGTAGCACTGTCAACATCTCTTCAGAAGAATCGGCTTAATTAAGATCTCTAAAATTAAGGAAAGTATTCAGTTATATGGTTATTTAAGGGTGTATAAAACGGTAACCAGTTTCAGTTGATGTGGTGAGTGCAAACAGTTGGATTGTAGAGTAAGTGGAGAACTTAACATATCTAATGCTGCTGTTTTACTTGATTATTTTAGATCTGACTAAATAGGCCTTATGAGATCTAGGTTGACTGCTGACATTGAGCTCTGGCGAAGCAACGAGAACAACACCACTCTGGTTTCCTTCATGTCACGACACAGTCAGCCGGAAAGTTGGGCAGCAATCAGCAGCGATGACCGTCACATACTCGCGCAGGGTTGCTGATGCAGGTCTGGGGACCTTCTTTCACCTGCTCCTGCGATGGAAAGGCAGCGTCTACAAACTGCTCTACAGAGAGCTCATCATCTTCACTCTCCTCTACTACTTCTTCAGTATTGTTTATAGGTACTCTTATAGGAGATATCAGTAGAAAACATTCATGTCCTCCTGTCTTCATAAAGAGTGACCTGAAGTTAAAAGTTGTAATGAACTCAAAGTGTTTCCTTCACCAGGTTTGTGTTAAAGGATGACCAGAGGAGGCTGTTCGAGAAGCTCTCAATATACTGTGACCGCTACGCAGAGCTCATCCCTGTGTCCTTTGTGCTCGGTGAGTTGAGGCTCATTGTTTCTTCTGCATACATCTGAATTTCAACACAGTGTTGCTGGAAACCTTTACAGAAGGTGGGCTCGAAATACCTATCTTACATTTTGTTGTCAGGTTTCTATGTCACCCTGGTCGTGTCCCGTTGGTGGGGCCAGTTTGAGAATGTCCCCTGGCCGGACCGCCTGGCAGCATTAGTGGGCGGCCATGTTCGTGGAGACGACGAGGCCTCAAGGCTGACCAGACGAACTCTGATGCGATATGCCAACCTCTCCGGTGTGCTGATCTACCGCTCTGTTAGCACAGCCGTCTACAAGAGGTTCCCCACCATGGAGCACCTGGTGCAGGCAGGTAGGGGGAGGTGAAGTCGACTAAACTCGATGTTGTTGGTCTGGCCAGTTTAATGGCAGCACAACCACGCCCATATCTATAGGATATGTTTGCACTGTTAAAAATAAGAAACCGTGGGAAGTGGACCGCCTGTCACAGGTTATGAATAATGTTTAAAACATATTCACTACTTAACAGTGGAGGAAAGTAACTAAGTACTCAAGGTGCCTGAGTATTTACATTTTCTGATACTTTATACTTCTACTCCACCAATCTTTAAAGGAAGATGTACTCCAGCAAATTCATTTGATGATTAGATTACCTAGATACTTAACAGATTCTGAAATTATTATCAACAAATAAAATATGATATATCATCATAGATTATGCACCACAGCAGTATAACACATTGCAGCAATGTGCCCCAACATTTACAAGCTGCAACACTTATGTAATGCGTACATTAATCTATCAATTACTTTATTCCAATAATATATCACACAATATTCTGTGGACCAATCTGCGAGTATTTTTACCTTAGGTACCTCAAGAATACTTTTGAACTAAGTACGAGCACTTTTACTTTATAGGCTACTACATACTACTAATTACTTTTACACAGTGGAATTGCTACTTTTACTTAAAGTGGACCTATCATGCTATATTTGAATAATATAGTGTAGGACCATACAAGGCATATTTATACTTTTTTTTCTTCAAAATACCAAACAGATCATGCATTTTAGCCATGCCTCGTTTTGCTCAATTTGCACTTTTTTAGCTCTGTTTTTGCAAGGGCTGATTCTGTGAGAACAGCACCACCTACAGGCCTGGCATATGTACTACAGCGTCTCCAGGGCTTTCGAACGGCAATGACCGTGGCTGTCTCCTCCTGATTGGTGGAGTTGGCCCAATAGCCGTAGCGCCACCATCCTGACGTCAGGACAGTGTTCAAATCTGGATCAGTTTTGATCAGATCCGTTGCAGCCCCTTTTTTAGAGATTTGGGTATGGAGGAAAATAGAGAGGGTTGTGTTTTCTGACACTTGGTGAGTTCCCTGGAACACCGGGGACACATATTCATGTATAAAAGACGTACAAAAGTGCATTTTGCATGATAGGTCCCCTTTAAGTTAATAATCAGAAGACTGTTTCTAACCCTGCTTGGAACTTAGATTATAGGTACTGTTCAGAGTCACAGAAACAAACATCTTAAGTGCTTTCTCTATTTGCTTCATTCCTTCACTCGTTGTGTTTGTGCCTCTCAGGGTTGATGACGTCGGAGGAGCTCAGGCACCTGGAGGAACTGCGCTCTCCTCACAACAAGTTCTGGGTTCCCTGCATGTGGTTTGTCAGCCTGGCTCTGAGGGCTCGGACTGAGGGTCGCATCAACAACGACGTTGCACTCACAGCCCTTCTTACTGTAGGTCTTTATATTTCTGCTGGTCAAAGGAACCTGAACATCTTCACGTTGTTGCTCTGAAACATTTTATAATATTGCTTTTACTTCTCTTTTCAGGAGTTGAATAGTTTACGGGCAAAGTGCATGAAGCTGTACGGCTATGACTGGATCAGCCTGCCTCTTGTCTATACTCAGGTTTGTTGAGCTGTAACTGAAATAAAGTAGATACCTTTTTGGTAGAACAGATTTGATAGTTTTTACATTGTTATGAATCATTAAGTGTTAAAAACAACTAATAATCCTTTAACTGAAACAATTAACTTGGTTTGATCATAGCAATCGGACAAAAATCAGAAATAAAAGAAATCAATGCAAACCCATATAACCCCTGACTAGGTGGTGACAGTGGCGGTGTACAGTTTCTTCCTGGCTTGTCTGATTGGCCGTCAGTTCTTGGATCCGGCTCAGGGTTACTCAGGTCACGATCTGGACTTCTACCTGCCTGTCTTCACCCTGCTGCAGTTTTTCTTCTATGTTGGTTGGCTGAAGGTAAAGATGAAGTCACACTGATGCAACACAAGACATTTGATTTATTCTTAATCCTTCTGAGATGCATTATGGTCTCTTCTTTTCATTGTGTCAGGTGGCTGAGCAACTCATAAATCCTTTTGGTGAAGACGATGACGACTTTGAAACCAACTGGCTCGTTGATCGCAATTTACAGGTTAGGATTCAAATTATTATACATGAGCCACAGATTAAGGCTGTCCTGTTCTTGCACTAGCTGTGGTTTCTGTATTCTCTCAGGTGTCCTTGCTGTCTGTGGATGAGATGTACGACAGCCTGCCGCTGGTTGAGAGGGATATGTACTGGAATGAGTCTGAACCTCAGCCTCCCTACACTGCTGCCAGTGCTGAACATCGCAAACCCTCCTTCATGGGCTCGGCCCTGGACATCAGGTTCAGTAATGCTTCTATTTTTTGGGGGACAATTCTTAAACACTTATAGAAATGACTTCCCTAACCATCAGACCCCCTTTGTAATCTAAACTAGTGTTCCTAAGGAGGATATGGAGTTTCAGTCCAATCTGGAGCAAATTAAAGAACATGAGGAAGCCAACTACTCCACCCCGCTGCTCGAAGGGCTGGGTCGTCTCCTTGGTGTCCAGTCTCCTAACTTCTCTCGCTCCTCCCGGGTCTCTCTGCTGCGCCGCCGCCCCCGAGCTCCACAGAGCCGCTTCCCTCTGTACCTGCACCAGGAGCCTCCGAGTCAGAGCCGCCATCCTTTCAATCGTGAGGGAGATCCAGACTATGCCTTCTCCACCATGCCCTTGTATGAGCGACCAGGGTTCTACAGCTGCCCACAAACTCCCATTCACTGCGTGCCCCCAACACCGCAGCGCCCTCGACCCGCCCGGCGAAATCAGAACGAGTGGGACCACAGCTGCAGCTCCCTCGCTCCTCCAATGGTGGGCTCACAGATGCTGCCTCCGGACACTCCCAACCACGTCCCCCAACCGCCCTCCTCTGCTTTCCCCTGGCTCAGTGGGGATGGCGAGGTGCTGAATGCCCCTACCTTCTCCTTCCCAGACCCCCTACCTCAACTCTGCCCCATATCTAAAATCAGACCCGGACAAGGCCTGCTGTCTCGCCGCCCTCCACGCTTGACTCTGGACACCATCCACTCAGCTGACAGCCATCCCGGACCCCAAAGTGCTCGGGCGGCAGGAAGTGGAGCAGAAAGGGTGTTCTCGTTCACTCCTCCCTCTCGCACAGCAGCAGCAAATCCCAGTAATCCCACCAGCAGCTCTGGCAGCATTGACGCAACAAGCACCAACAGCACTGGCACAACAGGAAGTCTCTGCAACGGTACGAGTCACATTAATTTTAGCAACCAAGGGAACTTCAGCAGCAGCATGAGGGGCAGCAGCATGAGGGCCAGCAACGGGGGCATCAACGGCGGGCCGAGCAACAACATGAACGCAGTTTCCACTTCGGCGTCAGTGCAGCAGGAAACCAATCAGCAACACTCACCCAATGATTCAGGAATCTCATTGGCCGAAGGGGACCTGCTGGGCGTTCTGGTGGACAGTGGCGTGAACAAAGCGGCAGGAGCGAGAGAGGACTGAGAAAACAAGGTGTACCAGACTGCTTTGCATCACATTTGGCATGCAAAATATTTCACACAAACAGGCTCTATGTTACATCTGAACTGCATTACAGTCTTTCGGAGGCCGACACAACAATGTGAAGTATTTGTTGCACACACTGAGTTAATCTGTACTTTCTGTTAAACTCTTATCGAACAATTAACCTACTTATAAGTTAAAAAGCAGATTATGAGATCTAACCGCCAACATTTGAAGGAAAAATAAGAAACACTTTCTAGTTTCTTCTGCAGCTCAAGAAGTCAATTTTATATATCCGTACAGAAACGAGTCTTATTGGCATTGTGTCCATCAGTGTACTCTTTAATAAATATTACATATCATGTTATGTTTCCTTTGTTTTTCAATTAAAAAATGAAACTTGAAATTACCTTTTACTTTTGTATGTTGTTATACAAGGATGTCAACTTAAATTCACAACTCCAAGTATTTATAAATTATGTTCTATAAAGAAATTTCAGAGAGAAAGGGTGGACTGACATTCAGCGCTGACCAGAAAAAACTCAGTGCAGTCTAGCTTTCCTCTGCAGCCATGGTGTGTTTGTCAAAGAGATACTCAGCCATGCCGCTCTGAGGCACTCCCATAAGGCGCAGGTTGGATATCCAGTCTCCCAGTTGCTTGATGGATTTCACCTGCTCGTCCAGAAAATGTGTTTCTATGAAGTCACACAACTGTGGAAAAAAGGAAAAGACAGTTTAATGTTTTGTTTTGTTTTGTAGCCTTTATTTATCCAGGTTAAAAATCCCATTGAGATCAACGATCTCTTTTACAAGGGAGACCTGCGGTACATTGAGTTACACATATAAAAACAAACAGAAAACAAAAAGGACATCACAACATAATTACAGGGGTACACATTAGCATCTATTTACATTTACAGGTATCCAATAATATTTCATCCAGTCGTGCTTTAAAATGATGCAAGGGAATCAAAATGCTGAGTTTCAATATTTTTTGCATAGTGTTCCAAGCTAGAGCAGCAGCGCACATAAAAGCTTTAGCACCTAAAACAGTCCTAGCACTTTAATCTTATTTTACTGATCCTCCAAATGTTAAAATATGTTCTGTTCTCTTAGGTTTAGTTTATTTCCGTCATTATCTACTTATTCAAGGTAAGTATGCATATAAAAAAACTAAATAAATCAGTACTTTTGAAATAGTGACAAAGCACAGGAGATTTATACTGAACATAAACACCTACCCTTTTATATAAATTATTTCGTACAACCCTCGTTAAATGTATAAACTAAATAAAAACTAATAATCAAAATATAATATAGGTACAAAATATATAAACATTAAAAACCCTGAGATGTGTCTTTGTTAATCACTTCCGTCAAAAAAAAATTGTAATAAGTGAATAACAATATTTAATTTATTTTTCAAATCTATTCTACAAAATTAACTCATTTTACTGTAAAAGATTGTCTTAGGTCCTGCTGACTCGTTTGGAACAGCTACCAGATACATTTTTTATGTTATCCATTAATTGTTCAGTTACACCAAATCTCTAAGCTGGAGAGCATATGAGGTTACAAATTCTAAAGCCTGGTGTGTATAGCATCGTTTTGCTGTGCATGCGTGTGTGACAGAGTGAAATACATATTTTAAAAGGAATTTCTAGATGAATGCCTGTAAAGTCAGACATTCAAGCACCGGCTAAAACAGCTGTTCATGTTTCTGCTGCTTACATGAGGATCATTGTGTTCAGCTGCCAGTTTCTGCAGGTCCAGCAGGGATTGGTTTACATTTTTTTCCAGCTGCAAGGAACAATCCAGAGCCTCCAGGCTACTCCCCCACTCATCTCTATCAGGTTTCTGAGATGCACATAAGAAATTCAGCAATTCAACACTGGCAACATTTTACAAAAATACCCAACAGATATATTAATAATGATATACTAAATTGGTACTTGGACCCTAACTGACAAACTAAAACGTATCATCAAAATGCAATAATGGAAAAACATGAATTGCAAATCTTCATCAAAAACAGGACTTTGTATCAGTACACACCCTAATGTCCTGCAGAAAAATGTTGCCTCCACGCTGGTTCTGCAGACTCATCAGCTTCTTAGCATGCTCACGCTCCTCTTTGGACTGAGTGTGGAAAAACTTTACAAAATTTGGAAGGGATTTATCATCCCTATCAAAATAGTATGCCTACAAGACATAAAAAAAAGAAGACAAAAACTATTTTATCTTTTTGAGCTTAATGGGACACCAACAACAGTGAGCAGTGAGCTTTGAGCAGAAAAGATGCACATTGAATTGATTTTAATGCATTTCTTACCATAGAGAGATAAACATAGGAGGCATATAGCTCCAGGTTTATTTGCCTGTTAATGGCAGCCTCACAGTCCTGGTGGAAGTTTTGTCGGATTTGTGAACTCATTTCTGCATAAATCACAACAATAAATAAAAGAGAAATGTAATTCAGTATGTTATAAACACATTATACAAGTAATACAGGATAAGACATAAAACCACACCATCTAATATCACTGCAGCCATCCCGATACATTATTCTTTTATTAAATGTTTAATTGTTTGTGTCACTACGACTCCTGCTAAATGAAAGGATTTTATAAGTAAAATGTTGGATTAATTTGTCCAAGTGTTGAGATGACCTTGAAAAGTCTGTCTTGACACCCACAATGGAGGCAGGGTGCAGAATTGTCTTTATTGTTCACTGGCACATGGGTAGAGAATAATAACATTCGACTATCCACTCGATGGATTACCATTAGTTTTGACTTGTGAATGATGCAAATCTAATATCCACTTACACATTTTAACAGCATTTGACTGGTTAATGTTATGCCCTCAATTGAGGCGCATATGATTTCAAAATCATTTACATTTTAATATTAAGAATTGTTTACATGCAACACCTTTCCAGGTTAATGCACCTCACCAGTTTAGTGGAACTAGTATGACTAAATGAATGAAGTGCCCTTTCCAGGTCTGTGGATTGTGCTGATTTGATTGCATCAACCCCTGCATTGATATTGATCCACACCCCACTGACCTTCATCTCACAATAACTTAATGGCATGCTGGGAAACTGATATAATGTACTTTTAAGTGTGACACCATTGGCAACAAAGCACAAAAAGCTATTAAAATGTTAATTATTGATGGAGTTAGCAGCGTTAGTTGCTATATTACACAAGGTGGCTAACGAGCTATGCTAACTACAAATTACGTTACCATAGATCATGGTTACCGTTGCTAGGCATTGCTAGCTAGATCTCCATCATCTCAATCTCAGACACTAATGTTACCTCCGAAAGGCAGCTGACAATTGACATGCCTGCTAAAAACGTACCTGTTTGTAGATCTCGGACGTTTCACACTCGTCGCAGGTTTTGAAGCAGTTCAATTTGTAGAGACTGAAGTTTTAAGACTAGCTGACGTTAAGTTATCCACGCACTGCCGTCATAACGTAGGGACGTGGACCCTCTGATGATGGCGGTTAAAGGGGTGGGTCATGTTATTAAATAGCCATGTGCACATTGAAACTGCTACAAAGATGAGGGAGAGGAGGAGAAAGATGAGGGAGAGGAGGAGGAAGAGCACACAAGTCATGACATAACCACTTAAAGCATTCTGATTCATGGTTATTGGTAGTTGAGTTTGAATAGAATTGTCATATATAACAGATAATATCTGTAATTAATTACTATGGAGAGGGGTTAGCTACTCGTTTCATAATCATTATTTTAATATCAGAATAGCTGATTTTGCCTCTTATTTCTTCACAGACATCTCCCAGTCAAGAGCAGAGCAGCCCAAGCAGCCACACCTGAAGTTCTTCCCACGAACACTTCAGGGGGATCGAAGACGGTGCTTCTGTAAAGACTGGTTCAAAACTAAAACCTAAGTACAGTTTTATTAATGTGATTGTGACCTTTGTAATCATTTAAGTCTTCTACACACTTTAGGTCTGCAGCTCCTTCAAAATGAAACGAGAATCTATGCAGTTTTTCCTCTTCTGTGTTCTGAGGTTATGAGCCGACCATTAGTCAAGTTTGTTTTCATAATGTTCTGTATGCTAATTTAAAAAAAGGGTAACCAGTTTGTTTATAAAGTTTAAATATACATTTTCAAAACAATTAGAATATAAGCTATATGTATTACTCTCACCACAGTGGCCTAATCTAAAAAAATAGAAATATGTCTCGTCACCTATTTTCTGTCTAACACTAAAAGCTGGTGTTTTGTATCATTTATATAGTAAATGTTTTGAATTTGCTATAAAGGTCAATAATAGATGGTGTTTTTGTGTTCAATCACAGTATTTATTTACCATTTTATACCCCTTGTGTTTTTGGGTCCTGTTGAAATAAAATAGTCATGTTTTAAAACTTGATTTAATAAAGTCATGTCAATCATCTTTGATCCCAGTGTGACACAAACAGCTTTGTTCTAAAACAATTTATAACCTAGAGACATAATATAACTGAAGAACATGTTGTGTATTGTATGTGTTGAGAATGCTGAACATGTTGTGCCTTACAATAAAGGAACTTTACAGCTTATAAAATACAGCTTAGGAAATTAAGCTGTATTTGTCTTATTAAAAAGGAAAGAACTAGCATATATAAAAAACAAAATAAATCACCTAACACATGTATACATAACACAAAACAAGGTTCTTTTAAATGTTGTTTGAAGTAAAATGTCAACTATCCTTATATTCACTTCAGATTAATAGTATCAGAAAATGTAAAATAAGAAACCAAAGTATATCAGTAGGTGATTCTCTTCGCGATTGTTTTAATCTAGTCTATACTTTTACAACAATTAAATTATTGGTTTTGGTGGGCCACCCCAAGATTTTCAGTGGCCCCATTTGGCCACCCCTATGAAAGATTTCTGGAGGCGCCACTGTCTGGTCATGCTATAAAATGACCAATGTCTGGCTTTTAACAAGTGCTTTTATTTTTGAACGGTTAAAGTAGGGCCATATTGCAATCGGCTGCTGGAAAGATTGACATACCATAGCAGGGATAACGTGCCATGAGTCGACGTGTATTTTATAATATATGGCCATATTCCAATCAGTTAAAATCTAAAGGACATGCTGCTCACCGTCATGGTTTGCAGCTAAAGCTAGTCAAAATGTGTGACAAAGACGCATAATGCATCCACAAACACATTTATTTGTGGCACCTGGTAAATATAGTAGTTACCTGAACACAGGTATTTTAGCACTGAGCTACAATAGAGAAACATTATTATAAAATACAATCAAAAGCTGAAACCTGGATTACATTTTTAATAATACAATTTAATAAATCCCAAACATAACAATCTACCATAATCACAGTCAGTACAGATTACACAAATAAAAGCTTGTACTTGGCCGCAATTTTTAAACATTCACATCCCACTTATAATACACAGCAATGTTCAAGTCCAAGTTGAAGGGTGAAGCATCAATTATTTTATGAAAAATAAATGACTATTTGAAACAAATATACTGGAAACAGACTTCCAAAGTTTAAACAGCAATGTGTATCTGTGTCAGTGTACAGACATTACTTCCTTCCATTTGGAGGAGAGTGCCACACAGCAGAGCTGGTGCGTTTCATATAGCGAGGCTTATTCTTGTTAAAGATGGTTTCCAGTTTTGGTGGTTCAATTATTCCCAAATTGTTTTCAAAATTAGGAGGGTTGTAGTACTGTTTCACAATGATCTGCTGCAGCATGTGACCTGGGAGGGGAAACATTTAAATACAACGTTTAAGACAACAGAACTTGAGACCCACATCACACTGTGACATTGGGAATACATAAATAGGTCTTGTAAACATTCACAGTTATGTTAATAATGATAACCAAATTTAGGAATAGGTCAAAAAATTACAATTGACTCATAATTATTTTACATCATGCCTACCTTCTGCCCATGATGGGATAGGTTTCCTGGGCGCAGACTCATCATCAGTTGAGTCGTCACTGTTTTGGTCCATCCCATAATCCTCTGCAGTTTTGGACGTAGTAGGTTTGTTTCGCCCCTTTGGAGTGAGGGAGTATGATTGTGGGGATTTCTGATGATTGTGAGGGTTAAAAAACACACTTTATAAGACTTTGCTCCGATTAGAAATGATTTCCATTATGTAGAAACAAAATTATTATTTATATGTACCTCCAAATCTATGGTCACATTGAAGCCAGCACCTTTTCCTACAGGAGTGGTCAGTACAGAGGACTGCAGGGAGCAAGAAGAAAGTGGTAAATGTATATTTTACACAGCTTACAGCTTCCCTGAGAGGTTTTAGGCTTTCCATGTTTATCGGGTGATTTTAAAACAGATTTTCTGATTTGATGTCAACATTCTTACCTGAATATCCACAGTTAAATTCAAGCTAGCAGTAGCCTTCTATACAGAGGAGAGAGAGAAAAAGTACATTTAGCTCCTCATTAGTCCATGAAATGTAAATATGATGCTTGTCTTAATGCGTTTGTTTTGATGTGGTAAAATCTAAAAATTGCAGTGATGTAAACTCTTAAATGCTGAATCGCCTGTCTGCACAACAAATCTACCCTTAGATACTAATAAAGAAATGTTGAAATAGTTAACTGAGGATATTTATGTAAGTGTTGCTTCTTATCTGCACTACAGCTTAATTTCCTCTTGCAGGTTTACCTGTGCTTCAGCAGCCTTTTTAGCAGCAGCCTCTCTCTCTTTCGCAGCCACTTCTACTGCAGCTAATCTCAGCTGCTGCTCCTAGTGGAACAAAAATCACATTAACAACCAGACCGCTGAGCAGCCAGAATAACAAACCCAGAGTATAGAATTAACTTTTGAAAGTAAGAGTGGACTATTTTTCAACAGAGTTATTCCATGGACGTCAGCATAACATGAAGGTTCTGATGAAAGCCTACGATACATTAATAAGCGTTTTGCAGGATTCACTAAGTAACTTACATAAGATGAACTAATGGGAAAATGTATCATTAACTTTTGCAGAAAGTTTTCCCTAAAATCATAACTTGCACAAAATGCTTCCTGGGTTCTGTACCAGCAGTCGTGACAGAGAAAGTTAAAATCACCAAAAAAGAAGACTCCATTGTACAAACTTCTGCACGCTAGGGCTGAACGATTAATCTATTTTAAATCGAAATCGCGATTTGCAAAGCCTGCGATTTTTTTGTTCTTCTTGTGTGTCAGTCATGCACACCAATCAGAAGTGCTGTGCTCTACATGTACCAGTCATTGTTAACCTGTTAAGCCCTGAGCCTGTTTTTCAGGTCTCAGGCTCGAAAATGACATTCCCAGAACAATGTATCTTCCCTTCTAAAAAGGGTTAAATTAATAATCTTTTTTCTCAAAGTAATGATAAACCTGTGAGTTAGATGTAGAAAAGTCAGAACAATGTATCTTCCCTTCTAAAAAGGGTTAAATTAATAATCTTTTTTCTCAAAGTAATGATAAACCTGTGAGTTAGATGTAGAAAAGTCAGAACAATAGATGTTTTTTTATTTTAAAGAAAATTCAGATTTTAGTGCCGGCACTAAGTACAGCAAAGTACTTGGTGTGAAAGCGGCTATTGTTGCTTTACGTCTTTGCATTATAAAACCCATTTCCTACTACATCACTGTTCAGAAACATGTTTTAGACATCTTGGTTCCAAAATATAATTTCTTACCAGTCTTCCGTTTTCCTCAAGCGCCTTTCTTTTCTCCTGCAGTTCTTTCCTCTCCTTCTCTCTCGCAGCTCTCTCCAGTTCCCGTTGCAGAACGAGAGCTTTTTCTTTTTCCTCCCGCTCCCTGAAAAACAATACAAGTCAAGACAAACTTGTGAGTCAAATCTAACAAATGTCTTTCCCCGTCTTCACTAGAGCAAGTTTCGGTTCAACACAACTTTAGCATAATCAGAAGGGATCAGGTTACGTATAGATTATAAAGCAGGGTTCCTGCAGGTTTCACCAACTTAAATTTAAGACTTTTTAAGACCACTTTGAATAGAATTTAAGACCTATTTCACGGCAAGAAAGTATGAAGGAAAATTGCTAGGAAAGAAGAAATACGTCCCATAATTACTTAAAGTAAATGTATTAGGGCTGTCAGTCGATTAAAATATTAATCGCGATTAATCGCATAATTGTCCATAGTTAATCGCGATTAATCGCACATTTTTTATCCGTTCTAAATGTACCTTAGAGGGATATTTTTCAAGTTTTTAATACTCTTATCAACATATGAGTGGACAAATGTGCTTTATACGTTTGTTTATTATCATTTGAACAATGACAAATATTCTCATGAATATTAAACACCACAACCTCTGAAGTAAATATTCGCCTCAATTCAACCTGGAACCTCTCTCATACAATACAGTGTGTGTGTGTGTGTGTGTGTGTGTGTGTGTGTGTGTGTGTGTGTGTGTGTGTGTGTGTGTGTGTGAATGTGGAGACACTGTGATGGATCGTTGGAGCTATGTGCCGCTCAAGGCATATATGCTCGAACGTGTGCTGCCTGGACGCTGCAATCATGTAGCGGGTACTATCCGTGCTGAGTGTGCTGACTTTTCGTACAATGTCCCACTGTCTGGCTACCTGCATAAAGTCAAGTGCTCGGCGCAGTTGTCGGCGAAATGTCATTGAAACAGCTCTTTATATCCGTTAGCGCAGCTAGCTAGCACCAGATGCTAACAACACGTAAGGTGTGCCTCGCTCGCGCGAGTCGCGCTACACATACACACTCCCTGCCGGTCCTCCCGATGGCCAGTCCGGGCCTGCCAGTGAGCGTGGAAGTGTGGTCTGCCACAAGCGGGCTGAGCGGGGCTGTCAGCATCAGCTTGTAGATGGTATTTTACACTCGATGCGCTCTGAAACTACGGGGCGGCCGAGGACAAAAAATACACATGCGTTAAATCGCGTTAAAATAATTAGTGGCGTTAATTTTTTTTTGCGTTAACGCGTTAACTTGACAGCCCTAAAATGTATACATGTTCAACATAAGAACGATGACTGAACATAACAGCATAACAGTACACAGAACTGTGTTATGGCCCGTCCACACAGTGGCGTTGGAAGCTTCTTCCAACGCTTCTGCCCATTCACTTTGAATGGGGTGACGTCACTTTTCGCCGAACTGCATTGTGGGAAGCAAAGCGGAGCTTTCCTGGCGTTGCAGGATGTAAAAGTTGAGCAATGTTCAACTTTTGAAGCCTCGGCAGAAGCGTCAGCCAATCAAATCATATGCCAGTACAAGCTCTAGCCAATCAAACCGCTGCTTGTGTGTCAGGGGCGGGAGATTCATGCGATTGGTTGTTGGTCGAGCTTCAGACACGCCCGCCGGCAAGCTTTTTCCAACGCCGCTGTGTGGACGGGCCGTTAGCGTGTTAGACAAAAAGTGTGTGTGTGTGTGACAAGAGCTATAGTCCGAGCTCTGCTGTCTTCATGCTGTTGTATGATTGGTGTTTAGCTAAGGTATTTAGTGTCCACAGCACCTCCGCTTTTAGGGTTGACGTAGACTCAAACGTCACCCGGAGTTGTTGCGGGAGTAGCTGCACTAGCTAACGCTACATTAGCAAAACAAACGCTAATTTTGTTTGCAAAAGGTGCAGCGGGCTTCAAACACATTCCCCTCCACTGGTTTCAACCAAGCACTAAATTCGATGTTTTCCAACCAAATACGGTTGAACTTACACTTCCCCATATTTATTTGTAAGTAGATTAGAAGATACCTAATTTCTGATTGCCGCTAGCTGAAGCTTGGTTGCTAGGTTACTAGCTGGGTGTTCTCCAATAAGGGGCCGGGGGAAACGAAGTTAATGATTATTGGTTCCATGTTGATTTATTTCAAAACAAATTGTTGGGGGGAACTGAAAGGCTCTTACCGTACTGGTTACTTCGCAGCCCGGACATTTCCCCCAAAACACATTTAGACGCCATCGCAACACAGAAGTACCTTTCAAATCCGATCATTTTTAAGACCTTCTAAATCATATTTAAGACCTTTCTTATTTTTTTGATCATATTTAAGACCTTTTTAAAAAGGCCTTAAATTCTGATTATCAAATGTAAGACTTTTTAAGACCCTGCGGGAACCCTGTAAAGTATCTGTGGCACAGTTGTTAGATTTAAAGACAATAGATAACCTTTCAGCAGCAGCTAGCCTGTCTCTCTCTTGCTCTCTCTTCAGCTCCAGTGCTTGGCGAGCTTCCGCCAGTTTGAGAGTTCGCTGTTCCTCTTCCTCTGCCTTCTTCTTGGCCAGTAATTCCTGCTGCTTCTTCTCTTCCTCCTGAAAAAAAAAA